GAATGTCTGGTCAGTGCTGTAAATGTCCACACTGTTCCTGGATTCTCTTTCTTATCTTCTGATATAGTTGCTTGTGTTTTCACAGCAGTGAACGTTTGACACGTTTGTCTTCTTTTGTCAAACAAAAGTAAAAAAACACTTTCATATTTGTCAAAACTACATTGACAAAAAGCATTACTCTGGTATGATTACCAAAACTTTGGGTGTGTATTAGCATTTAAAGAAAATTGAAACATCCAAAAACTGGAAAGAGGGAAGACATCATGGGAAAGACGAGACACAAATTTAAAACCTAACACATCTACTCCCAGATAAATCACAATCACAGCCATTTCAGGAGTAAATTCTTTGAAACCCAACTGTTAAATAAGCTGAAATGGTTGACTGGCAGACTAATATATTGGCAAACTGAAGAGCAACAACAAACACATCCTGATTTTCCAACATGTCATGTCTCTGTTTCTGTTGTCAAAAACTCCACGACCACATGTTAGTGAACTGAAATGAACTCCATGGAGCTGCTGTATAGACCATAAAAGCATGGACTCTTTCTAACATTAAAAGTTGTGAAAATATATCTCTAAATGTCTGAATTAGCAGATTCATGTCTGGCTTTATTTCTGGATTCTGTATTTGAACAGTCGCTTGAGATTCAGAAGTCAAACCAATCTCACAAAACTCCCAAACAACGGTAACAACACGACTCGTTAAAATATCAGCGTGGGCCATAAATTTGCCAAACTACATCTCACATCCTGGACAAGAAAAGTTCTGTACCGCACAGCGACTTGTAAAGGCCTGCTGGCAGCCCATCAGCTTTAGTCCAGGAAACAAGGCACTAAAGCAGCGTGGACGAAGCCCGGAGGACGGCCGGCCCAACAAAAGAGAAATTCTTTCCACTTGAACGGACACCATAAAATAATCTGAGCAGCAGCATATTTCAGCATCGCCGCTGTAAATCTCATCTTTTGTATCTCGAGTCATTCCTTGCCGCGGCGTTCTCTTTTACACATTTTCAATAAGTAATTGGAAATTTCATCATCAAAGCACATCTTTCAAAGGGTACGTCACACAGCCCGACCTCCAGTAATTGTTTCTGCCTTCGCCACGTCTGATGATGATGATTGTGGAGAGAAAAAGATTCGGAGAGCAACAGTTGAGGAAAAGAAAAGAAACGAACATATTGAGTGAGACAGTGCATCTGAAAGCCCGACAACGACACATAAACTCACATGCTCACAACAACCCCGAGTCAATAAGTATTACCCCTCCCAGAGGGAATACGGTAAATTAGACGAGGGTAAACACATAATTAAGTCAAATTTAAAGTATCGAGGTGCTTATGAGTGAAGCTCACTGCTCATCATCATACGTAGAGAAGAAGAGACGCTGCTCTCAGCAACACAAACAGAAGATGGAGTATAAAACAGAAGTGAGTACCCCCCTGTGTAACATCCCTACACTGTCCAATTACTCAAACTGTCATCAACCTGAAGTGACTGCATTACTTCTAACACTCTGTATACGCTCGTGTAAAACTCAAACCCAGCAGATTAGATTTACTGTACTGAAAATACAGGCCCCAAAGTAGGACCTCAGTGCAACAGAAGTTGAGATTCATGTCTGTAAATTTTTCAGGACTTCATGTGTCCACCTGTATTGTGGATGACAGAATCAATCCTCCTCTGGAAGCAAACGTCTGCAGGGATGCTCTGTCATTCTTCTGAGACCTTTCTCTTTTTATTTTTTTGCTCCTTGCTGGAGGGGTTGTGTTGCTCCTCTTTTCTCCTGAAGATACCCCAGAGGTGTTCTGCTGGACTCCAGTCAGGCAACATACTGGTCCCGGTCATGCTTTTCATCTTTTTTCTTCTTCACAAACCCTTCTGTGATTTGTTCTTTTGATCACTATCATGCTGGAATATGTCTCTTCTGCCAAACTTCTGCAGGCTGGGAGTGTCAGCCAGTATTCTATCCTTCATGGTGCCATATATTATATAAATGTCACATTCCCAACACCTTTTGGACGCTGAGCTGAACCTCAGCCTCACCTGACCAAAGAATGTCCTCACTATATTCATCAGGCTTCTTTTCCTGTTCTTCAGCAACGTTAATCTTGCAGTTTGGGGTTTTTTTTTTTCCTTTAATGATACCCGTAGAAGTTGACATTTCACACTGTCCTTCAAACTGGCACAGCTGCAGAGAAACCTAGATTTCAGCTGTACCACGTCTGAAGTATGTGACCATCAGAACTGTGAACACAGTGCACGGCCTATGGTGTCATTTAGAAGGAATGTGGCTCTGATTAGTCGTACGATGGCTGATTTTGTACCTCCTGATAACTGCAGCAGTTGTCTTTACACAGATTTTTTTCAAATAACTACTGAGAAGCTGGGGCTGTAAATGACCACACTAGTTATAAATAATGGTTATAAGTTTGTTTGACCTCGGATCCAAAATGCAAAGTTCATTTCCAGGTGATGTGATACTGAAAAGACCTGCAAATGTTTCCATTGTTTGGGTTCAGGTGACCGCGGTGGACAAATCACAGCCAATGAGACATGAGTTCCTCTGAAAATGCGAACCTCTGGGGGTCTCTATAATACTGACAGGGTGCTATTTTTTAATGCATTTTTATTGCTCTGTAATTTTTGTATGATGGTAATTAATCACTGATTCACTTTAATAGCAACAGCAGCATCCATTCTATTCTTGCCACAGTGATTAAACTGACACAATAATTAACCCACTAATTAATACAGCATCACATCATGTATTATCCACTAACAGTAACTGGAAAGGGCAGTCAAGCTCACCTGTATTCTGTGTAAGTGGAGCTAATAGAGATTCATATGGTGAATATTTAGAACCAATAACGTCATGGTGAAGAAAATGAAATGGTTTGAAGGAGTACAAGAAGCAGTCTGTGCGTCAAAAGAAGTGAACAAATGCTGTGTTTGTTTGTGTTCTGCTGAAACAATCAAAGAGAATCTGCAAACTGGTTCCAGAAATCTTCAGCACAGCAGCATGAATGTCCTGCTGACCCCAGAGACTGGCCGATATCTCACCAGCAGTGTGACTGAGACGGCGAGACAGTAATACCTCACTGTTTAAATTTACTCTCGCAACATGAACGTGTCAGAACATTTTAATTGGGACTCCTGCCTGCCTGCCAGCCTGCACTGTAATACCATGTAAAGCAAAATGGACCAGTGGCCAAACGCTATACGAGTTACCTGAGATGTTTTACAAACGATATTTAAGGTGACTGATAAATGAAGTTGAGCCAAATGGTCCATTCTGAATTCAGTTTTCAGTTTAGTGAATCTGCTGCTAACAAAGTGGTTCAGGTCTGTCTCTAAGTGTAGCCCTGTGATAGACTGGTTACCTGTCCAGGTGAACCTGCCTTCACCCTGAGTCAGCTGGGATAGACTCCGCCCCCCATGACCCGAGTGAGGATTAAGGTGTAGAGATGATGGATGGACGGATGGTTGGTAGGCATCTAAGTGCATCTGCTTCTGCTGTGTACCACATGATACCATAATTCTCCAGTTTCTCAGTCGTAAATCTCTGTCTGGCTTTTTTAACAATTAAAAATACGTCCAAAAACAGTCTTCAAATGGTTGGAGCTCATCTGGAGAAAGATGATGTGTCAGTTAAACACATCCATCCATCATCTCTACACCTTAACCCTCACCAGGATCATGGGGGGCGGAGCCTATCCCAGCTGACTCAGGGTGAAGGCAGGTTCACCTGGACAGGTAACCAGTCTATCACAGGGCTACACTTAGAGACAGACAACCAAGCACACTCACATTCACACCTACGGACAATTTACAATCACCAATTAACCTCAGCATGTTTCTGGACTGTGGGAGGAAGCCGGAGAACCCGGAGAGAACCCACGCTGCACGGGGAGAACATGGAGACTCCACGCAGGAAGATCCCGGGTGTCCTCACCGGGACGCCAACCGGCGACCTTCTAGCTGTGAGGCCACGGTGCTAACCACCTTGCAGCCCCTAGTTAAAGACAGATTATGTAATTCTAACTCTCTGCACTTTTGTCAAATTGAGCGAATGTCTCCTCCCGGTCTACTAGCCGTTCATTCTGTGTGTGCTAAAATAAAATCTGGTGTTAAAATGGGAAACAAACAAAGTGGCTCAGACGGATCCACTCAGCGCTTCTCCAGCAGGTCCTGTGCACCAGAGCAAACATGCACAGGACAGGAGGACAAGAGATGGATGAAAGGAAGGCAGAAGGAGCGAGAGGCACTCTGACACATGGAAGCTATCCAACTATGCTAACTAACTAAACACCAACAATCTTTCTCAGGATTCACAGACTCCACCTGAAGCAACACTTAAATCAAACAGTGACGATAAATCTCCTTTTAATAAAGAGGTGATTTTATTATGACATCCTACAAATCAGTGAGGAGGACTGCTTTGTGCCAATATTGTGTTTTTATGTGATTTTTGAAAGAATGTAATGAACTATCTGTTTTATTTGATTTTCCAGATATCCCAATCTAAATCTACCCTTTTACCCCACAGGACCAACTGAGCATGAAGCAATATAAAATACAGTTCATGCAGTTTTCTAGTGAATCCGTCGTGTTCTTCTGAAAGTTTCTCTGTTGTAAATTTCATAACGTGCTCTTCCTCTGGGTGAGACAACAGACTGGAACACTTCTACCATCAAAATCCCTGAATGCAAAGGAAACCGCTTGCTGGCAATCACTTCAGTTTTCTAACTTGTTGTGTTTCAGGCCGACGACGTTCTCAAGAGCATCAAAGAATACAGTCCAATCATTGCTGCTAATTGAGAGGTGAATGATTTCTAAAGCCGTGGAGCTGATTTTAATTAAATAATGACTAAATCAATGTGATTTATGCTCAAACAAACATTGATTTTACTCCACCGTCATCAATCTGCTGCTTACCAAAACAGCCTGACAGGAGTTTAAAACTGAGAAATCACAGCTGATTGTCATGTGCAGTACCTCGTTGAAGGCAATCTTGCTGTTTTTCATCCTCTGGGGCGAACTCCTCCACGTTTTGCCGAAGAAGTGCAGGTGGTTTCTGTCAAACAGCGTCACTCGCAGCTGGTACGTCACATCCGTGGACACCTCCTGTGCATGAAAGGGACGTTTTAGAAAAGTCAAAGTTCCTTTATTGTCAGTCCTGCTGTACGCATACAGAGAACTGACAATATGGCTTTTTATCAGAGCCTCATTTAAAGAAAAACACACAATAATCTACAAACTAAAAAAATATGTAAGCTAAACATATAATACGCTAAAAATATACAGTCTAGACCTATAATAAGCTACAAAATATACAAAATATACAATCTGAACATGTAAAAAAATGTAAGTAAACAGGAAAGAGAACAGAAGAATCTGCATGAGGAACATACTGGGTCTTTGAGGCACATACTGGGTCTTTGAGGCACATACTGGGTCCCTGAACTGAGAGATTAGGCTTCGAAACCTTCCAATTAATACAACAAAACTTTTTTTTAAGCATTCAAGAGGGAGTGACATTCAAGAGCTCACAGCCCTCCAGTCTGCATGACTGTATGCAACAAGTGATGAAGGCAGGAAGAGTCAGTGGCAGGGTTTGATGGGTTAACTCATCCATGACACCCTTCCACTGAAGAACTTAACTGTACAGTACAATAGAAGATATTATATATATATAAACAGGCCTTTCATATATCTTTATGTGAGGACAGCCCAAAGTTAGTAGACAACAAACTACCACCTACACAGAACACAGGTCTGTCTAACCACCACTACCACATGAGCTGAGCCGTTTCTTTTACAAAGCCCTGAGCGTCTGGCTGTGAGGAATCACCTGCGGGAGGTGAGCTGCTGTGACCCGGTTGAGGCTGAGCTGGAAGCCCCGGGACCGGCCGAGGTGGCTCTCCCCGGCCAGGCGGACGGTCTGGCTGGGCGGCGGAACCAAGCGGCTTCTCTCAAACACTTGTCTCCAGCCGCCCGTCATGCTGGACACGCCCTGTGTTTTCACCATACCGTTAGCTTAAAACAAAAGTGGACACCGCGTTGGAAATAAACTCAGAAACGTGGAGAACAGCTGACATGTTGCTCTGAGTATTATCTTTTCTGCCCGTTCAGATTTTCAAACCCGCGGACGCCATGTTGAATTCGGACTGTACTATTTAGTGCCAGGGGGGGGGAGACGAATAAATAAACGGACTAATCGGGAGCATTCACTTTAAAACAAACACAAAGACAATAGGAATTGAGCTTAAATGTACAATATTAGTACGAAGAGCTGTTTGCCTCAAAACTGAACATCTAAACTAAGATTCGCAAATGTTGTCTTTTATTGTCTTTACCTTTCTTTTGGTATTTCCCACCGTGCTGCCTCAGTTGCTATGGTAATGCTCACGTTGCTATGTACAGTATGGAACAGCGGTGCGTTACACTCGTGTGCAGCATCACTGAAATGTCAGATGATTCAAAACTGTGTCACCTCTCGGTATTTACATGATGTCTCAGTTAAACAGTGGCGTAATAAACAATAAAAAATAAATACGTTACAAAGACTACATTGACAAAAAACAAAATACCCTTTTTTTTTAAGTCAGAGTATTAATTAATGAACAATCCGTCAGATAAAACCTTCAGAGTACAGATGGGATTGACACTATAAAGTGCTGCTGAAGTGGAGATTTCTTGCTCATATTATTCATTTCATACATTTTTTATTTACAAACCACTATTTACAGGTCGAAAAGTGAACTTCTTCCTTCTGTTGTATACTGCGCATCTTCCTAAATGACCACAAATTTGTTTTATCATGAACACTGGTGAGAACTTTTTTATTGCATTTGCGAGGTATAAATCATACCCTCTGAGTTCTTAGACAGAAAGTTGGAATTTGGGTGAAGAACAAAAAATGATGATAAAGTACTATAAGGATCTTGATTTAAAAAAAAAAAAAAAAGTACTATTTGGGCTCACCAGTTCAGTCGGTGGGGTTGTTCATTAAAAAAAAAGGGTCCTGAAGCTGCAGCGGGGAGCAGCACCGTTGATTGAGGGCCAGCAGGGGGCAGCAGAGCGCCGCCATCACTGAGCCGCAGCAGGACGAGGAGAAGAAGAGGAAGAAGGAAGCGGTAAACTGAAAGCAGTTGAAATGTTCGGACTACTCGGAAAAACTAAACCTGTGAAAATTCGGGGTTACAGTGAAAACAGAAAGTACGGAGTTGCCGCGAAAAATGTGAAAGAGCTGCTAAAAAAGAGCTGCAAGCTGCTACAGGTGAGCTTCCGGACTTTTAAACTTCCGCTTCTTTATTTTCTGCGCTAAACTAAAGTAACGTCTCGGTACCGGAGCGGTTCCGTTAACAGGATATTAGCAGGATAAAGGGAATGTTTTAATTGTGGTCAGTAGACATGCGCACACGGCCGGGCACAGCTGTGTGAGTACAGAGTAGCAGCAGGAGGTGATCAGCTGTGAGGGTGATCAGGGGGCACATCCAGGCTCAGTGTACCGGGAGTGATACAGATACAGCTTAGTTATAAAGCAGATCAGAGTGATATACCTGTTATATGTCTGTATGTTTCTGAATACATTCACTGCACTAGACAGGAAGGGCGGGAAACCTGAGGTGATTGGAGGTTTGTCAGTATTTACTGTGAAGGGTCAACACATCCTCTAAAATCCTGAAGCTTCTGTCATGAACACACAGCAGGCTTTAGGTGTTGTCTTAGCCTGCTGGATAGACAGGTCCTAATTTGTTTATACACTTCATTTAAATTTACAGAACACACATTATTATTAAAGCGAAACATCCATCATCTCTACACCCTAACCCTCACCAGGGTCATGGGGGCTGGAGTCTATCCCAGCTGACTCAGGGTGAAGGCAGGTTCACCTGGACAGGTAACCAGTCTATCACAGGGCTACACTTAGAGACAGACAACCAAGCACACTCACATTCACACCTACGGACAATTTACAATCACCAATTAACCTCAGCATGTTTCTGGACTGTGGGAGGAAGCCGGAGAACCCGGAGAGAACCCACGCTGCACGGGGAGAACATGGAGATTCTACCAGATCACAGTCTCACCATGACACATATATAAAAACAAATATAATGAATCATTCTAGAATGATGAGGGTGATTTTCTAGGTGGATACACATTCAGATGAAGCTTGTTCGTCATACACAGCTGATCAAGCAACTGACATTATGTCTGTTTTTGCAGTCAAATCTCACTTTTCAGTGTTTCTCACTCATTTTTCTGTGCACATGCTGAGTCTGAACCACCTCAGTGTATTCTAAATAAAGTTGTTTTGTTTGTTTGTTTTTAAGTTATCCCAGAACGCTTACGTTGGATTAAATGATGTCCAAGTTTTCTTCTTGCATCAAGCAGCAAAGGAAGTAGTTGCGTGACGTGTTTAAGTTGATTTTATTGTGTTTCTTTGATTGCAGTTGCCCGTCTCTGGTGCTCATTTGTGTTTGTATGAGGACGGAACGATCGTGACAGAGGAGTTCTTCCGGACTTTGGCAGACAACACTGAACTCGTTCTTCTGTCTAAAGAGCAGACGTGGAGCGGAGGTACATGAATCACCCTCGGACACCATAACAGAAATGAAGATGTGTTTCACCTGTAACCTTGTCTCTGTTGTCCAGACACACTGCCGGCTCCGAGCTGTTGATAACCCTGTAACCCTGTGAATCTCACTGTAGTTGCCTGTGACATCGGTCAGTTGCTGAACACAGACCGGCATGCTGATGGCCTCATCGAAGCGGCAAAGGCACTGCTCTCTGATGAGAAATCCTCCAAGAGGCGCAAAATCCTGACCGACCTGCTGCACAACCTGAATGACAACTCTGACCTGGAGAGCAGAGAGGAAGATGGAGACTGGTTCACAGGTACAACGTCCAGCGAACTCATTAAGGACAGAAGGTTTGGAAGATAAACCAGCACAGCTTGTTGATGCTGCCTCTTTTTCTAAAAGTCTCAGACTCCTGCACACTGTCTGACTGTTGTCTGCTAAACCTACACCAGACAAAAGAGAAGCACTGGTAAATAGGAACTGGCTGTATGTCAACAACCAGCTACAGTCTCTACGTACTGCAGGAGGGCATGAATCCCAAAACATTTATGACCATTTTCATGGAGCCTGTCAGTTTCTTGATGTGTTAACAATCAACCATCATGTGGCTCAGGTGGTAGAGCAGGTTGTCCTCCAATCGCAAGGTTGGCAGTTTGATGCCCCACCCCTCCACAGTTGAAGTTGGGCAAGACACTGAACCTGAAGTTGCTCCCAATGGCAGGCAGCACCTTGCATGGCAGCTCTGTCACCACTGATGTATAAATGTGTGGTCAAGCTAGTTTTTTTAAATTCATTATTACTGATTTCAATCATTTAATTTCAGGTGTGGACGCTCGATTCAAAACAAAGTCAGCCTACATGAAGTTTAACTGTGAAAGCAGGATACGAGGCTACATGAAAGAGGTACGGCTGGAGGCCAGGTGACACTCCGCAGGTCTTCATATGAACCCTCCTCAATCAGACATCACTTCTAAAAGGTTCTGTTATCGTTTGTCTGCAGTTGGATGATGCCACCAAGACCATACAGAAAGCTAAAGTTAGGACAGAGTTTTTGAAAACATCAAAGTGTCTGACGGAAATGCTGAAATCAGCCCGATACAACGGCTGCTACTTCGACAGGACCGAAAAGGAGCTTCATCGCCTTTGCACCAGGGATGGATGGTTTACCTGCCAGGTAGTGAGGCATCGACGGGGTGATGCTGGAGTAGAATGAAGTAACACAGGCAACAGGACTCTTTGTGTTGAGGCTAGCTCTGCACAGGTTCAAGCTGCTGAGTTAACATTAGGCAGCCTGAGAGGTCGAACATGGATCAGATGGATCCACCGTGACAAATAACCGCAGTACTGACAACGCAGCAATACAACATTCAGTTTAAAAAAGTCTTTGTGAGGATTAAGGTGTAGAGATGGTGGATGGATGTTTTCTAGATGCACAGCAGGCAGTAGCAGCTACCGTCCATTCTTCTCTTATTAATACTTATATCCATATTAATAAGAATAATGACTTAATGGATGTTGGTCAGTTCTGATCCTCCACCTGAATGTATGGTGTAGTTTGTACACTTGGGATCAAAACAACAGTACAGTGCCTATAAACAGTATTCACTCCTCCATGTCAGAGTGCTTGAACTGTTGTAAGTTTTTTGCAAATGTTTATGCGTCTTCCTTCCTTTCTGCTCCTCAGGGATCGTTTGACCAGACAGTGTGCCAGACTCTCCACTCCATCAACCCCTACGGCAGCAGAGAGAGCAGGATCGTCTTCAGCACCTGGAATCTGGACCACAGGTGGAACCCCTGCTGCCTGTTAATGCGTTTTGACTTTACAACATAATGAGACAGCTTTTTTTTGCTCTATGCTTTACGTGCAATTCTTCATCTTGTTTCCAGGATTGAAAAGAAGCGGACGGTTATCCCGGCTCTGTTGGAAGCTCTACAGAATCACAAGAGCGCCGACGTCAACTTGGACTACTTCTACCAGCTGCTGTTCACCAGAGAAAACCTGAAGCTGGTGCACATCGTTTGCCACAAGAAGGGACAACACAACCTGGAGTGCGACCCAAAGAAGATATTTAGGAATGCCAGTGATGCAAAGAAAGCAAAACGGAAGCCCAACGTGAAGAAACGGCGCTTGGTTTGAGTGTTTTTATCTCTTTATGGAACATTTGTGTTCGTTTCTACGAGCTATTGATGAATCTGATGATCACCTTCGAGCACAAAAGTCAGCGAACGAGATCACAGCAGGAGGGATGAGGTGGCTTCACCTCGTTAGCGCTGTAGTTTTATTAACCTGTTATATTCCTGAGCCAGCTTCACCTGTTTTATATTTAAAAACAGCCCCTGAAACCATGAAAAACATTTATTTATTCTTCATGTTGGCATGGCAATGAAAAATACACGAATCGATTACAAAGATGACTCAATGAACGAAGCATTCACTCAGTCAGAAAGTTGCATAGGTGATGTGAAAAGCAATTTGCATAAATAAGGCAGTAAAAATATATATAAAAGATTTGATTGGATGGTCAGAATAATCAACTTTATACAAAATAGGTGAGAATAGCAAAAGTGCAATCACTGTTAACCTCTAGGTTAGATGATTAAAGTACATTTTCAGTCAGGATTAAGTCATTCACTAATTACTCCCAGACTTCAGTGTTTTTAACAATACTCTGGTTTTTGTATATATTTTTATAAATGTGAACTCATCAGGGAAAGAGATTAGCTGCATTGATATGTGTATATACAGACATATGTTAAAAAAAGCTGCCAAACAACTGAGCACACGCGTGTTGAGGAGGAATACCAGACACTTGGTGATTAATGACTCCTAATGAATAAACTGTTGACATGACATTCATCTGAAACCATGACTTTGTGGTAATTAAACGCTCTCGTTACAGAACTGCTCTTTGGCGTGTTCTCCGTCCTCTCATCTGGAACCGGGTCACGATGCCGACTGTCACACGTGACTTTTGCATTTTTATTAAACAGAATTTATAGATTTGTGAAGAAGAAAAATCTCTTTAGAAGCTTGCGACTTTAAAGCAGCTCTCTTTGGCATCTCACGGGGCTTATCTTAAACTGGACTGGCTTGTCTCATAAAGTGCTTTGTCAGAACCACCTGCAGGTGAGACCAGAGGGGGGTACTACGAAGCCAGGGGCTAGCAGGGCTGTGGATCTAAGTTTTTAACATCACAAACTTCTCTCCTGACCCACTAGATGCTGCACAGCGAGCCTGCTCTGGAAGTTCTGTTCAGTTGAACAACACTGTAGGCAAACTGTACGTTACCATAGGAACCCACTGGTGATGCAGACAAAGGGATAGATGTGTTTTTGAGCTCGGTTCAGACTGCTGTGGCTGCAGATAACTAGATTAGAAAATAGCTGGTGTTTATCAAAGAACAGTCAATCAGCAGCATCACTTTCACTTCGATTTGGCAAAAACTATTTGTATCATGGGACGCTGTCAGATCTAAATGCACCTCTTCTCCATCGTGTTGACTTTACGAAGCTCCTGTGTGTAATAATCAGCTGCTCTGAAAGTGAACGGAGTGGGAACACACCTGTATGACCTTACACTGGGAACCACGTGCTAGCTTCGTAGCACCCCCTCAGCTAGACCTAAATTAGGGGCGACATGAGCATACATTCAGCAATAAACTAGCTCACAGGTGGAGTTCACTGCTGTAGCTACATAAAAGAGCTACAACTGATTTAGGTATCAGGCCAAATGGTATGGGCAAAAAACTATTTGGCATCCATGTGCATTTGGAAGGACCTTTCAAGTCAAAAGCTGCACGTTTCCAAGTCTGACATCAAGACGTTCCTCTACGAACACCAGTGCTGAACTTCTATTTCTGTGATGTTGGGTGTCTGAGCGCAGGTTTAATGTGCTCGTACCCAGATATCGGTGGCTTGTCTACGTGATGCCGACAGCAGATCCAGCCACAGCGTTCTCACCTCCCTCACACTGCAGCCGACTTCCACCACCTTCATGCTTCTAACAGAGGCGCGATGACACGGACCAACCGGATGTCTCGTTTCTTTTGGCTGCTTTTTCCTAAGTGCTGGGAGGTTTTTAAGTCTTTCCACAGGCGTGACTCTGAGTCCACCTCAGTCCTCGGAGAAGCTGCTCTCCACTAAGTGTCCGCCCCGCCGTCTCTCTGCATGCTGCTGAAGCCCTCCTCCTCCTCGTCTTCATCGCTGTCCTCCCGCGCGTAGTAATGCCGCCTCCTCTTTTCCCTCTGGACACGGGAAGAAGTCGCTGACGATCTTTGAGGAAAGTCCTGTAAGGTTAGAGGAATTCAATCAGCGTTACAGCGTTTTTAAAAAGGTTAAATGTCAGTTTGTTGAGGTTGACTGTGTGCCTTTTGATAGCGACGCCTTCTCTTGCATCTTTACCATCCATGTTTTGTATTTGATTAGCCGTAGCAGAAATGTGACTTCATCAACAGCAGTAAGTGAACTGTCTGATCGTATTTAAATGCCATGAAAAGCACAAGACAAACACGCTTTTGATTTCAAAAATGGCCATCAAAGAATTAACAACAATCACCGACTGAAAGTGAACATTTTATTGTCTTCAGTTTGTCCCTGTTCCCCACAATCATCTGTCTCAAGCAACACAATCCAGCATAATGTGCAGGAAAACCACAACATCTCACCTGTACAGTGTCCAAGTTTCCAAAGAACTGCTCCACAGGAAGAATCTGGTTACTGTCGTCGTCTGGGAAGAGGATTTTATCAGTTTCTTCATATTCCATGAGCTCAGGCTCCTGTTTGTCCCAGGTGCTGTTGTCTCTGTAGCCGTCCAGGTCCGGCCCCGTCCTCTGCTCGTTCTCCTTCCCTTCCTTCCCTTCCAGCTCCGGCGACGCCGAGCATCTCCTCCGGCCGGCAGACTGGTGGCATTCACAGCTGATACGAGAACGCCTCTCCAGAGACGCCGCCGCTTTACTGTAACCGACTGAGTTGCTCTCTGCTACCGAGTGTGTCTTTGGACTGTTTGTGCATCTCCTGCCTGCAGCAGAAACCTGTAGCAGAAAGTCAAAGAGCACAGGTAGGATGATATGACAGGTAATCACAGCGTGCCTCGGGTGTGTGTCCATCAGACGCAGCTGTGAAGCTCTCATCAGTCACAGCTGTTCAGTTTAAAATATCTAGTCAGTATAAAATAAAGACAACATTTAACTGTAGATGTTCTCAGAATGAGGCAGTTGACTCATGCACACAGGCAGCACAGACCTTTCTGGAGCTTCTAATGTCGGCGCTGCTCTTCCTCTTTCTGGGCTGGAAGTTATCGGGTTGACCAGGCATCTGCAAAGCAACATCATGAGGTTTGTTCAGTCCCTCGTGGCTTCATGAGAGTGACCAGTTAGTGGAAAAAAACGTGGGTTCAGTCATCTGAGAGGCAGCTGTCATAATACCAGCACTTCCCAGGCTGCTGCTGAACATCTCCTGAGCTCCCCTGTCCAGTAACAGAGCGGGTCGGCTTCAGAGTTACTGGGCAGCTGTTCGCTCAGCATCAACATCCAGCTTCAGCAGCGTGTGTGCCAGTATGAAAGCTGGACACCAGTAAACAGATGAAGCTGGCTTTGCTACACATGTCTATGTATGCATTTGAAATGGCTGCTTCTGATTATTATTCTGCAACACACACAAACCAAAACGTTATTCATTTGTATGATTTACGGCGTCATAAGTGTGTTGTACTGCACAAAACGTCTACTCAGGTTCTCTCTGTGTCCAGCCATAGTTGTGGCTGAGCTGCTTCCATAAAGGTGCAGGACTTTATATTGGCATAAAAGAAGAAGAACCCAAAACAGCCTACAGCAAAAAATAAATAAAAATAAAAAATGACAGAAGCAAAAAATAAATGAATAAAAAAAAAAATTAAAAACAGCCTACAGCAATGAAAAATATGACAGAAGTAAAAATAAATATAAAAAAAAACAGCCCACAGCAATGAAAAATATGACAGAAGTAAAAATAGTTTTTAAAAAAAATAGCCTACAGCAATGAAAAAAATGACAATTAAAAAATAGTAATAATAAAATAAAATGTAAAAAAAAACCTTACAGCAATAAAAAAATATGACAGAAGTAAAAAATAAATAAATAAATAAAAATGAAAAAAAAATAGCCTACAGCAATGAAAAATATGGCAGAAGTTTTATAAAATACATACATTTATTTAAAAAAATAAAAAATAAAAAGCAGAGCCCGTGGTTGGGTCCGTGGAGCCCGTCGTCCTCCAGAGCCGCTGTAAACCCAACAGCGCCCCTCTCTCCTCCTCTGGTCAAACTCCTCCAAAATATGGACAATTTCATGTCATCAATCATCACTGCAGCCTACACCGTCAACTTTAATCCCTGCAGCGGTACATCTGGACATGTGTCCGAGCCGTGGTGACCCATCACAGGCAGACTGCTGTAGCGGACACACCGCCATCCGTCTGTAATGCAGCTAAATTAGCTTAAACCAGCAAAACCAGCGCTCATCGTAGGTGATCAACCAGTACCGCGAAGGGCTCTTTGGTGTCAAAAAAGAGGCTCAAATTACTAAAAAATAACTCCAGCGTGTGTCGGTCGTTACACCGACACCAGCTCGGAGGTGACTGGGCCAGCTAAGGTGTCACCACAGCGGAGAAAACACTCCGATAATCGATGTCGACATCTCGGCTACAAGCTAATGGGGCTAGCAGCGGAGCTAGCAGCTACAGCGGCTAATTAATGAACTTTACTGGCCGCCCGCTTGTTGTCGTCGCCCAGCGCAGCGCTTACCTTCAGCACCGTTCACCGGCCCGATGCCTCCGTGTAGCGGCAGCCTCGGTGTCACAGGTCGGCTATCCCGGTCCTCATTAGCTCGGTAACGTCGTTTGGCGTTGGCTAGCGAGAGACGGCTATAAACCTGATATGCGGCGGCGTCGCTGCCTCTGGGGCCGCTTCACCGTGCTTCCTGCCGCGGAGGTTCAGCCGGAGGTCACAGCGTCTCTGTGGGCGTGTGAGGACGAGCGGGACGGCGGACAGGCTTCTGCCGCGGGACGGTGGGTCCGCTCCGGTTTGCTCTGTGGGTTCTGAAGAAACTGGTGAATGCGTTGAGAAATGTCAGACGGACTATATCACCGGTGGCACACGTTAGAAAACAAATATTCTGATCAGGTCCCAGTCAGCTGAAGGTGACGAGTCCCGGAATAAAAAATAAAAAATAAAAAAAGCTGCTTCAAGAAAAATGCAGGTGCTGACTAGAACCAGAAATGCTTCTGAACAGTTATACCGGAAAAAAAAACATTTTAGTTCCACAAACAACCTGTCAACAAGGCAGTGGTTCTCAAACTGGGGGTCGGGACCCCCATGTGGGTCACAAGATCATTTTAGGGGGTCGCCAGATCATTGTAAAAAAAATATAAAAATAAAGTCTACATTTAACAAATAAATGTGCATCAGGGCTGTCGCAATTGAAAGTGTAACTTCTTCCCACTCCTTTTTTGAACTTGTTAATATTCTGATTTGATTATGTGATATTATTGTTTTTTGCTCTTTTTTTTTTTTTTTTTTTTACATTTTTTCCCCTTTCATTTGTTCGAAATAAATTCAATTCATTCATTCAAAAGAAAATGTTAATATAAAGAGATGAATCTGTGGAATTAACACATTAATCTTTTAACACATTAATGCATCAACAACAGGATTATTCCTCATGACATATCAAGAATTCAGATTGGGGGTGACAAACACAAACTTAGGTTATCTTGGGGGTCGTGGCTCAGAAAGTTTGAGAACCACTGCCTTAAAGAACCCTCAAAGTCGCCTCAACAAATCAGCAAAAATAGGTTGTTAAAGAACCATTTCTAAAATGATGGCGCCTTCTGAGGAACCATTAGAACCGCTGTGTTCCTGAGCCTACAGACAAACAGACATGTCAGACTGTAGTTCATTTATCACTTTCATCAGAATATGTTCCTGTAACATTTTAAAGAATTATTTATGTAAACTTTGTGGCATTTATTTTAGCAGCAGACTGGGCCCTCGGTCCCCCATATGTCCTGAGTCCTGAGTGGAGGGAGAGTCTGGTGACTGGTGTCAGGGTGAGACCAGCAGCTGACTGCTGAGTTCACAGGTTTGGTTGAACAAGTGGTTAGTCATCCATAATGATAATAATAATTTGGATGTACTCATCAGACATTCTAATGATGCATCAAAACCCTTGAAAATAAAATGGTCTTCGTTCTGTTCTTTGTCAGCTAAACAGCCAGCAATCTGCTCTGACTGTTAGTCACTTATTAAAGGCTGTTTGTGTTGTGGGACTTTGTCTCCTCACCAGCAGCTGCATCTCTCCTCCTGGACTATCTAAAGAGTCACTCACCCAAATTACTGTTCAGCTAAATGTATGAAAACAAGTTAAGGTGCATCTTTACAGATGATCATAGCTGTAGAACATCATAAAGAGCTCAGACTGATTCCAGCCTCCAGTCACTGTCATGTCAAATAAAAACGCTGGCTGAACGTATAAATAAAGTCTCCTGAGCTCACCGTGTGTCAAGTGTTTATATTCATTTTACTGCACTGGGCTAAACCCCCAGTGTGCTGATCTGATCAATGTCGTTAGTTCCACTTCATGCTAACAGTAAAATAATGTTACTATGCACACGTCAGCTGTGTAAGTTTTACAAAACCTGCTGTACTAAGCAGGTGGTACGAGGTTTTGGAGAAGCTTTTAATTGTGTTTAATGAACTTTGCTTGGTGCTAAACGCCCTCTCTGACTCCACAAGAGCCAAGTCAGTGTAAATGTGTTGCATCAGCACCACAGCTTCTGATTTCACATGTTAGGGGCTCAGGTTGAGGGCTGCAGGTGTCTCGATGGTTAGCACTGTTGCCTCGCCGCTGGTTGGCATCCCGGTGAGGACACCCGGGATCTTCCTGCGTGGAGTCTCCATGTTCTCCCCGTGCAGCGTGGGTTCTCTCCGGGTTCTCCAGCTTCCTCCCACAG